GAAACGAATGTGTGCCCGCCGAGGAAAGCCCCGTCACATCTACAGCGACAACGGCACCAACTTCGTGGGCGCAGCAAGAGCATTGGAAAAACAACGAAAGGAGGCATTACAATGCTACATAAACAATGACGTCATAACTAACATGTCAGAGTGGGGCATTGAATGGCATTTTAACGCCCCTTCCTGGCCTACTGCTGGTGGACTCTACGAAGCTGCAGTAAAAAGCCTGAAACATCACCTCAAACGAGTACTTGGGGATCAAAAACTTACGTTCGAGGAATTTTCTACACTGTTGGCGCAGATTGAAGGATGTCTCAACTCGCCCCCTGGTGGCGTTGTCAGAGAATATCGAAGACCTTGACTGCTTGACACCAGCTCACTTCCTAATCGGCGAGCCTTCTCTAGAATCACCACTATCCGCTGAGGGTAATGACATGACCTTCTCTACAAGATGGCAACTTACGGAGAAAATGTACAAGGACTTCTGGAGAAGGTGGTCTACTGACTATCTTCAAACTCTACAAACTCGAAGCAAATGGCACTTCCCTACTAAAAACTTAGAAGTTGGGGACGTCGTTATCGTCAGAGAAGACAACATTCCTCCTGCCAAATGGATCCTGGGACGGGTGTTGGAGACTCACCCAGGTGCGGACGGCCGGGTACGAGTCGTCACACTGAAAACTAAAACAAGTAATATGAAGCGACCGATTACAAAATTGTCACGCCTTCCGTTGGATCCGTCATCTTATACAACTGCATCTTCTGACGTTGACACTACGAAGCCTGCAATAAATACACAAAGAAAACGAAGAAACAACAACGGCAAAAAACACTTCAACAACCTTTTTTGTACGTTACTACTTATATTTTCGATGTGTGTTGGACCTATTACGCAACAAATGATCAACATAACAAGGCTTAGCAGTTCAAGAGTCGTTTATTTTGACAAGGTGTCTGATGTGCAGATTATTCAAGATAAGTGGAAAATGGTTGTATACTACAACATGACGACATATTGGCGGAGTTTGGACAACATACAAAACTATGTCAACCATTTGAACACATTATGCAAGAAGGAAGCAGCCTATCTTACAATTTCATCCCAGTTTCAACACGAACTTAACGAAATTCAACACTATAACGATATCTTACGATCAGAACATGGACCGTCTCGAAGAAAAAGAGGACTAGTGAATGGAATAGGATACCTAGCAAACTCCCTTTTTGGTACTCTGGATGAGAGATTTGCCAATCAGTACGTGAAGGATATCAACATAATCCAGTCAAACGAAAATCATCTATTGAATCTCTACAAAAATCACACATCGATCATCGAAAGTGAATATAATCTTCTAAAAAGAAACGAGGAAGTAATGAACACACAATTTCGTATCATCGACAATCATCTCGCTGAAACGGAAAAACGCATACAAATCAGCCATGACAATGCTATGTACATAACAGCTACCGCTCTGGCCGTGAACTTGATCATTTCAAACATACGACAAATACAACAGCAACTCCTAGACCTAGTAACTGACGTGAAGGACGGGAGAGTTGACACCCATCTCATCAAGCCCAACCAATTTGAAGATCAGCTCAACATCATCTCCGGTCATTTACCAAGCGAGTTATCGCTACCCTGTGTGAACACACGCCATTGCACGCGAAGCCTATACAAGCTGGCGCGAGTGCACGTGCGCTTAACAAGTGCATACATAATATTCGAAGTGAAGCTACCGCTAATAAACAACGAACAATATGAACTTAACCACATCATTCCTATTCCGCAAATAACTGGACACACAGAGAAAACTATAGTACTCACATCTGAATACCTTGCTGTAAACCTAAAAGGGGACATGATAATACCCTTAGAAAACCGAGATGTATCATCATGCTTAAATCTGCAAGAAAACAAAATGTTATGTGCTATCAATCAACCTATTTACAACATTAAGGTAGCCGATACATTATGTGAAGCGCAAATATTAAACAATGGCGACTCATCAACATGCCGCACAAGAGTATTGGATTGCAACGACAGGTGGGTGCGATTACACAATCGTGGCGCGTGGCTGTTCTCCTGTTGCGAAGACTGCACGATGCGCATTTTCTGCCCAGCTGGAGTGACGTCACAGCACTTACACGGCACGGGGATTATGTTACTCGGACTTGGGTGTATGCTCAAGGGAGAAAGCTTCATCATTCATGCTCACAACGACTATCACAGCGAGTTGAAACTAACAGGCAGTGAAGAAAGAATGTACAGGCGTGAATCAAGCCTGAACCACATACTGACAGACTTTAATCATACATTTGGACCTGAAGATCATAAAGACGCCTTACAAGAGCTGAAAAACAACATTGATAAGGTCAAGGAACAGCAACAAACACTGAGTGTACAATCACTCACACATGACACACACAACTATGTGTTGTACACCGTAGTCGGATTTATTATTGTAGCCTTCATTGCATGGGGGACATTCCGGCTGAAAAGAAGATGTCAAGGCTGCAGCGTGAATCTTCGCGACAAGCCAGACCCCAACAATGTCGAGCAGCCAACCCAAGGACATTCATCGGAGCATGGGGTCTCGGACATCGATAGTGTGGATGCGGTGATCGCAACGGCTGCCCGTAAACTCAATAGGGGTTCATCGCCTTAAACTTTCTTCTTGTTTATAAAATTGGCAAGATGTACGAGCAAGTACATGATATTTCAACAGTTTAGAAAATAATGCTGATATCGCGCCTGCGCGCGCGACACGTTCACTATAATTACATTTTTTATTCATAAGTATTTTCAGTACAATAAACGCTCTCTACGGAAACGGACACAGTTTTAATTACCACATCCCGTAACGTAGAAGATACAACCTACATTAATATACTACATATCAATTATATGTAGAGGGTCACAATTCACAAAATACCCCCTACAATCCGATATTGAGTCTATATATTTGAATATCTATATATAATTTGATATTCACGTGACTTGTAACACTGTAGTAAAAATTCTATTGTGGTTAAATGGTTCGCTTAAATTTATAGATATATTATAATCTCTAATTATGTTAATACGTATTGGTCATTTTTTTAATAAAATAAGGATGACCAAAGAGCACACAGTCCACCTGATGAAGTGAATTGAAGTAGATGCTGTGGCCCATAGACATATACATCTACCCTCGATTACGAATCAAAATGCAAATGCGTTGTCACCCGTGAGGACTAAGATGGAATGCCTCCTTTCCAGTAAAAAGGTGGTTACTACACTCACCATACGAACCACAGCAGCGCTAAGCTGCTATTTTACGCTGGTAATCTGTGAGAGCATAGCTCTTCCCCGATCGAGCCGACCCATTCGTACTACAACTATACTACTGATATAACTGCAGTATGGCTATACAACGTAGAAATATTTCTGTTCTACATGAATTTAATATTTATATATTCTTTCGCGCGCTCAAAGTTCGTTCGAAATTGGAATCAGTGTAGCATATCATTTTATTTTAGGTCGTTATTATTTGTTCGTATTCGATATCAGATATCCTGTGAGGTAACGCTGTACTGCAGCAGTAGATAAATATTACAAAGTTAATCTGTGCCAAGGTACATAGACATTGGAATTTTTTATAGAATAAGGGTGACAAACGAGCACACATACCACTTGATGGTAAGTGGATGCTGTGGCCCATAGACATTTACATTTATCCTCGATTAAGAATCAAATGCAGATGCGTTGTCACCCCTGAGGACTATGATGGAATGCCTCGATTCCAGTAAAAAGGGGTCTCCGGATCTCTACTCACCATACGAAACACCGCAGCATTAAGCTGCTATTTTACGCTGGCATTCTGTGAGAGCGTGGTCCTTCCCCGGTCGAGCCGACCCATTCGTGCTACAACCATAATATAGCTGCAGCGTGGCTCTACCACGTAAAAGTGATATTGACATTGCACCGATATATAGATGTCTGTATATCAGTTCAATATACAATTTATTGTGACTGCTTCGATGGTTTAGTGGTTTTAGACGCGATAACTGATCATGAAGTCGAAGATTCGAATCCTGCTTATTGGATTTTTCTGACTATAAATTCTCAGTAGCTGTCCGGAGTCAGGAAGTCGACGGTGCATCACCCCCGTAACTTTGCTACTATAATCCCGCCCTGCACTGATGGTTAGTCTCTTTTGAGACCGGCCGCCGTGGTCGAAATTCTTTCTGGAGGACATCATACGATTTGTATTGCCCACTGCTACCTACTATTAATAAAATCAAGGTAGACAAACAAACAAACAATCCACTTGATGGTTAGTGGGTGCTGGTGCCTATAAACACCTACTTCTATATAACAACGCCTGTGTTCAATATAACAACGCCTTTAGGATGCTGTTGAGGCTGCCGTGGCGCTGTAGTGCCTCTAAAATGTTCGCAGACGCACACTCTAATGAACTTTTCGCCATAACGCATAGAAAAGCAGCTTCTCTCCTGCAGCGCTTACGTACCAGCAACAACGGCATCCTAAGAGTTATTGCTGCCAGGCCTGACTGTCCTATACTGCACCACTGTATGACGGTAGCTAAAAAAATAATTTGTACATAATTCACACTAACTAACAATACTAACTTAGAAGTTAAGGAAAATTGTTACTAACATACTAACAATCTATGGATGTTCCTTGCGTCTGAAATAAACACTTATTATTATTACTATTATTATTATTATTATTATAACCGATTACAAATCACAATGCAGATGCGTTTTCATCCCTGTGGACTAGAATGAAATACCTCGCTACCATTAAAATGGGGCTCCGGTTATCTTCACTCACCATACGAACCAAACTACGGTGCTAATATGCTCTAGTATTCTGCGAAAGCCTGGTCCTACTCCAATCGAGCTCCCTAATTTATTGTACAGTCATAAAACCTTTCCAGTCCTATAATTGGCTCTACCACGTAAACCTTACTAACCTATATCTTCCTTCCCAGACGTAAAGATCACAACACCTCGCTTCGCTGGCACCTCGTGGCTGGCTCTCCACGCACTGCGAGGCGCCTACAAGCGCGTCAGGTTACGAATGCGTGTCAGACCTGAACGCGCGCGTGGTGTACTCCTACTGACAGGCGAGCACGATGACTTGTCCGGAGATTACCTTGCTCTGTTGCTGAGGAATGGACACGTCGAGTTAAGGTAAGCGATACTTTCATATTACTATTCTTGCTTTAATGTTACCTAGTTCTCGGAGTGGAAGACGCAGCAGCTGTGATACAGTTAATAGTAACTGCCGTCGTTAACCTCTCAGTGAAACTATATTATATGTGTATTATATGTAATTGATTTTGAAATTACGACTTTCGTATTTGTTAAGTTTCTAATGTTTGGAAGGAGTGAATAAAAATTTATTATTATTATTATTAATATACAGGAAAAAAACTCGTGTGGTGGTAACGTTTTTTTTTAAAGAAAGAATTATATTCTTTATTTCCAAATTCCTGATTATCTAACTTATTAAAGTCAATAAATTATAATTTTAATAAAGGTGCTGTGACAGAGTAAATAGAAGAAAGCCCCGTTTTCAGAAGATAACGTTGATGTTTCACATCAGCTATATGTTCTTTTACGCGGGTTCTAATTGATCTTTTTGTTTATCCTATATAAGAGAGACCACATTCACAATCAAGCTTGTACACTCCTGCATCTTCTAGAGGAATATGACACTTGAAGGGGGGTAAGAATTGACTAAATTTCTTCGGCGGCTTGTAGAATGTTTTAATAGAAGCTCGCTTCAAGATGTAGCCAATCCTGTCTGAGACACCTCTGACATATGGTAGTACAGCAGGGGCGCACTCGACTGTGGCCGGCTTCACTCGGTCACTGTGACGTAGGTGCGGGACCCGAAGCTAGTTGTCGTGCAGAACTTGCTTGACGTGCTGAAGCTCGACTCGGAAGGTGTTTGCTGTCACAGATCTCTCGTGCTCTCTGTAACGTAAACATTTATTGAAACAATAATAAATACATAACAATAGAACTTTTAGTGACATCTATTAGAATACTTTAAATAACAAACAAAACTTTAAATCATTTGATCAAGAAATATAAATTCATTTAAATTTTTTGTATATTTTTGTCTTTAAAGTTTGACTTATTTTTTGACACGATTTTTGTCTTTATAACAATTCAGTATTCTACAATTTTTCAAATAAAAAAGTGCATTTAAGTCATTTGTATAGTACAAATAATGTACGATACACGGAACTTAAGTAACCGATTATTAAAACGTGTAAAGTTAGTGCACTTCGTTCGTGCGCTAACTTCACGCGGTTCAATAATCGGCTACTTAAGTCCCTTGTATCGTAATGTACTATTATTCTATATAATTCTTAGGAGTCGGCTTTAACTTTTCATTAAAGTTTTAATTATTTGTTTCTTTTGAGTTCACTGAGAAATATCACAAGCTCAAGGTCACGCACAACTAGCATGTCGTTTTCATAATTATTTTAAAAACTGCATGCTCTGATTTCCAACCCTTAGAGGTGGAATTTTTTTCCAAATTTATATAGACCACCCCGTAATAATGTGATATGGGCCGATAAAATTACTGAGAGATACAGGTTGATTCAGACAGAATGGGACCAAAGCTTTTCAAGCTGTACTTATATGACCTAATCGTTGAACTCAGCAGCAAAGGAGTCGGATGTCGTATCGAGACGTAAGTTGTAATAATATTAGTTAAGCAACTGATATGGTGCTGCTGAGTCCAACGGTCAAAGCAACCAGAGAACTCCTCAAGATATGTGAGGAGTACGCGTTAAACCATAGCTAGATAGCTGTAGAATCCCTGAAAAAGCACCTGCTTTTAAATTCATTGGCTCTGAATCAAAACATGTTTGTAAATTTAAGTACTCAGGTACTTTGTTACCGATGACCTTAACGACAATGTTGACATTGAAAGGGAACGTAGGATGCTGGCAGTCGGATGTTGGCACGTAGGTTTGCGCGGTGTATTGAACAAGTAAAGATAACGTTATTTAAAACCTGCTGTCAAGTTTTCTACACGTGCAGCCTGTAGTTGAATTATTCACAGCGGACTGTCGACGCCTTACGTTTCCAGTACAATAACGGCGTCAGGATCTTGTTGGGGCTATCCCGATTTTGCAGTGCATCAGGCGTATTTGCATAGTCTAGTATCTAGATGTTAGTGCTGTTAGTCTATGCGACTCTTACAGCTTCATCTGACTCAGGGCTTTTTTGACCAATTGATTTTTTGACCCGACTCGGGATTCGAACCCAGGACCTCATGATCAGCAGTCGTACTACTACACCACTAGACCAACGAGCCAGTTGTTTGCAAAGGCGTATACGGATGACTACCACGCTACTGTACTGTACTGTACGGGCTAGCTCCAACTTCATCATAAAAATAATTGCTGAAAGATATGACTCATTTGATTTCAAGATTATATCATAATTAAGCTACTAACATAGATTATAAGTATCATATTTACAAACAAATTAGGTATGTGTATTACTTGGATATCTGAAATAAAAATTATTATTATTTAAAAGTTATTTTGTAGTGTCGTGTAGCCCCCACGAAAATATATATTAGAATAAAAAGAATAATAAAAATCAATTTACAATTGACAAAAAATCGCGTAGTATACTAAAACATTTCGGCTAAAGAATAGTTTAATTTACGTTACTAGTAAAGGCCTTAAAATTTACATGTACTTGGTGTACTAGTTTGCTAAGTTCAGTAGTATCTCAAAACTGAGTTAGATTCACGTTTTAAAATTTAAAAAACTAAAATTATTATTCATCAATATTAAATAACGCATTTTGACTATAATCAACATTATTTTGTTAGAACAGCTCTCAAAGATTATAAGGACTGTGTACCAGGTACCTACTTACCTTACAGTCACCAGATTTAGCTAGTTGGCATAGAGGTAATTTGTTTGTGATGCAGATGGTCACAGTGTCGTCATTATTGAAAAGTTGCGTTTTAAAAAAGCTTTTCGGTTTCTTGTTTTTTTTATAGGATAGGTTGACAAATGAGCACACAGTTCACCTGAGGGTAAGTCGCCGCTGTGGTCCATAGACATCTACATCTATTCTTGATTACGAATCAAAATGCAGATGCGTTGTCTCAACCGTGAGGACTAAGATGGAAGGATGGATGGTCTCGTTTCCAGTAAAATGCAGCAGCAGCATTTAGTTACTATTTTACGCTGGTATTCTAAAATTATGTGTAAGTATTAAGTCAAAACAATGGCTGTTTATTAATAGGTACCGGGTAATATGGTAATATTGGGTAATTAATTCTATACAAATAACAACTAACCTTCAGTTCTTTATATATACGTCGTAGAGCCACGCTGCAGCTATATTACGGTTGTAGCACGAATGGGTCGGCTCAACCGAGGAAAGACCACGCTCTCACAGAATACCAGCGTAAAATAGCAGCTTAATACTGCTGTGTTTTGTATGGTGAGTGTAGAGATCCGGAGACCCTTTTTTACTGGAAACGAGGCATTTCATCTTAGTGCTCAGGGGTGACAACGCAACTGCATTTTGAATTGAGGATAAATTTAGATATTTATGGGCATGGCACAGCATCCATCTACCACCAGATGGACTCTGTGCTCATTTGTCACCCTTATTCTTTAAAAAAAACATTGATAAAAGAAATATCCTTGTATTTTTTACATATTTTTAAAGAAATGTCCGTAGTATTGTTTACCTATTTCACATCTAATGAATACAAAGTATAATTAATAATTCAGAATGTAATTTTAAGGAAATAAAGCATTATTATTATTTATTATTATAATAGTACAGTGTTAATAATAAAAAGTATAAAAAAGTTGTAGGTTCTTCAAAATATTAAACACTAGGTGGATTCTTAGAAAATAGTTCACTAATAAACAGACTGCGTTGATTTATATGTAGGTATTGATTCTTAATTGTATTATTTATCATGATACCGGTTAGATTTTGATAAAACCTTTAGCCAATTTACTATAGTAAATTGGTATCTTTTTTATGAGTTTAGTTACGTTTAAATATCTAGTTAGCCCAAAAACGATTGTCTTCTTTAAAAAGCCTAACAAAAGCCAGACGGGCCGGACACCGTCTAATTTGGCCGGACACGCAACCAAAAAGCCTGACTGTGTCCGGCTTTATCCGGACGCACACTACGATAATATCGAAACGAGACGGAGCCACACGTGTAAAGAAATAGACCAGAGGGGAACCTACATACAAACGGTTGCGTGAGCTCTCACCGACAGGTTCACCGACGCTCCGTCGGGGTACAAACCGGTTTGCGCCGGCTCAGTCAGAGTATCCATGAAAGGGCTGTATTAGTCGAGCGCATTTAAATATATGGAAGAACAATATTTCGTGATTTTATAAATCAATTTTTTACTATGAGAGTTAAGTTTAGAGATTGTTTATTATAAATTTATTTAACTAATTAATTAGTTTTCTGTATAAATTAATGCCTAACATTTGTACAGTATGTATAAAAGTACGAGAGAAAATTATACAATTACTAGACTAGACAGAACGAAATGTTAATTTTTACACTTTTCTAACAATTTTTATATCCCCGCTATGAGATCTGTCAAATATTTCACCTCGTTTCAAAGTGACGCCGCCCTGGTGGTAGAAAAAGTCGGGAATGTCCCTAATTTTTTTTTTTTTTTTTTTTTGTTGACGTGTCTTATAAATTATTATCTCAAAATCAACTATATGTTTTATACTCCTTGAACAAGTCCTCTTAATGCAATATAGGACTAAAACTAAAATACGTTCAATGTTTTACTAAGATGTTTTCACAACATTTTTTAACATATTTGCTTACGAATAACAAAACATGTTCTGTCTCGAAGCGACATTGTCGTTTAAGTGAACTTCAACAGTCCCGAGCTTTGCTTTGTGTAATACAATTTAGGAGTCAGGCTTTCTTGAAGCAATTTTCAAATGTTTACTTTTTAAATATTTTAAAACGTTTCCATGAGAAACTCTTTCTTAATATTTACACATTATAAACAAAAATAATTCATATTGTTCTGGGATTTAACATTGCAAACTGAAAATACTTCATTATTTTTTATACCTTAATTTACTTAATTACAATCAATAGGGGGGGGAGGCTAATAGTTAGTTTGTGATGAAGTGGAGTG